GGCGGGGGGGCACGCGGCATAGCGGGTCTGGGGGAGGCTGGGCATAGGTAGTTGGGAAGTGTTGGGTGGGGGGGCTGTGTGGCACGGCATGGGCCCGCCCCAGAGGGGAAGGGGAACGCTGGCAGCACAGGGCCACTGTGCGTCTGGCAACTGCCGGTTTGTAAACAGTGCCCTGCACTGAGCTGGGCAAAGCAGGACCTCCCCCTCCATGCCATGCTCCATTGCCCCCAGGGGGGCCCACAAATATGTTTGGTGCCAGGCCCACAAAAAGTTAATCCGGCCCTGGCTCCTAGGCGCGTGTGGGGTGGTACCGGCAGTGGCGAAGGCAGCCGGGAGGGCACATCCCTTTCTAGGGGGGCCCACTGACTGTTCTGCCCGGGGGCCTGGAATTGCTGTCCGGAGGCCTGTAAAGTGTGATGTAAACTGCACCCCTTTTACTTCAATGTGATGTTAACTTTGAAACCTAACTAGCAACTGTTTCACTGCTGATTATTCTAGCACAGTGGCTCTCAAACTTTTGTCCTGGTGACCCCTTTCATATAGCAAGACTCTGAGCAGCAATGAAGCTACTGCCCCTCGTTGGAGGTGGTTTTATTTTGTCGCCGGGAGAGCTCTCTCCCACTGACAAAGAGTGGCTACACTGCGTACCTTGCAACGGCACAGCTGCAGTGACACAGCTGCCCTGTTGTAAGGTGTGCAGTGTAGACACAGCCTGAGTCCCTTCTCAGGCACCATGAACCCCATTGGTCATAACCTCTATCCTCCTTGGATCTGCCTCCCCCAAGTAAGGTTCTGCATTCTGAATTCGAATCCTTCCTGTGTCGTCAAACATCACTTAGGGCACAAAGTCACTTTAAGTCTGGAATAATTGTGTGCTCACAAAGCAAGCTAATTATTCCAGAATAAATTCTAGACCAGAATGTCTCCATCGCCAGTTATTTCAGAAGAGTTTATTCCACAATACACCTCTACCCCGATATAACACGAATTCGGATATAACGCAGTAAAGCAGCGCTCCGGGGGGCGGGGCTGTGTGCTCCGGCGGATCAAAGCAAGTTCGATATAACGCGGTAAGATTTTTTGGCTCCCGAGGACAGTGTTATATTGGGGTTGAGGTGTAGCTCTTCTGGTCCATTTCCCCCAGTAGACAAGCCCCTAGGATTGTTTACCACTTTTCTACAGCTGTGTTCTAAAGTGAGGGTTTCCAGGATCTTTTCCACAGTAATCCTCACTCCCATATCCTTACACCTGACCATTGTTCCATTCAGTGCATATTTCCCAGACAAGTTCATTGCTACTATCCCAATTATTTGGTATTTGTCTCCAGTTAAATGCATTAGCCACCTACTGCCCACTCCTTTGCAAGCTGGGTGCACTGTTCATCACTGTTTGCTCAGCCTCCACTTTCAATATCATCTGCAAATTTAGGCTTTGTCTACACAAGCACTTTTGTTGGTAAAACTTTTGTCTGTCAGGAA